ATGTACGTGGCTGGCGCCCTATCTACTTGAGCTATAGCTGCCGAGCCATCTTCCAATAATTTATAAAAGCTTTCAAAAAAGTTTTTTCTAGTATGAATTATGGAGGGCAATATCTTACACCTACCTCCTTTTTAAACATCAACCCACTTTTTTTTTGAGACAGAGTCTCCTAGGTTGCCCTAGGTAGAGCGCCATGGGATCACAGCTCGCAGCAACCTCAACCTCTTGGGCTTAAGCGATTCTCTTGTCTTAGCTTCCCAAGTAGCTGGGACTACAGCTGCCTGCCATAATGCCCGGCTATTTTTTGATTGCAGTTGTCATTGTTGTTTGTCAGGCCCGGGCTGGGTTCCAACCTACCAGCCTCAGGTATATGTAGCTGGCACCCTAGTTGCTGAGCTACAAGCGCCAAGCCACCAACCCACTTTTTTAAACCTCTATTTTCTCTAAATTTCAAGAACAAATGTAACAGCATACCCCTCAATCACCAAGCTCATCACATTTTGATAATCATAATCGAACAAATACGATGCTCTATAAACATATTTTTAAAGCAATGCCTCAGGCACAGGATGGGAATTATTTCTGCTACTATTTGGCTATGGATTCCTGGGTACAGGAATTAATCTCTGTGCCTCAGATCCTTACATGTAAAGTATTATTATAATTCCATACATATATGTAGGTGTGCCTACAGATACATGTTATGTGAAAAGATAATATCCCTTTGTCTAAAATCTTTCACATGAGCCACAGGTAGAGTTTCACTCCACAGCATTTACTCTCCATGACTTTCCTGGATCCAGCACACCCTCCCCACCCCTTGCCAGCTTCAGCTATACTGTGTCAAGCCATGTGTATTCAACAAGTTCTAAAAGTACCAAGCAAAAAAAAAAAAAGCCCAGAAACCAGGCCACACACTAGAAAAGACAAAGGCCACCAGGTAGAATAACTACTCACCCCAGTTTTCCCTGAGTACTGTGTTCCCAGCATCATTATTGATGGCACCACCTTTACCAACAAAAGTACTCCCATTTGATAGTTTCCCACAGTAAAAAAAGGGGGGCAGGCTCCTGTTTGGACAATAAATTGTGGTGACCTTTGTCATCAAGCCCTAGGCCTGGTGCAGGTGCACAAGGAGCCCATACCAGCAATGCGCTCAGGGTCTGGGCTCCTGCACACCTGGGGTCACAGGGCCCAAACCTTTCCAGCTCCCTGATGGCCCTCCAGGGTGCTGCAGCCATACTTCCCACAAGATCCTCAGTAAGAGCGTATGTGTCCCTCTCCCCTGTGGATGGCCTTCAGCAGGGCAGGACTGGGTCTTAGTGAAAGTCCACATCTCCAGAGCCTCGGACCCTCGTACATGCTCTTACTTAGCTCAGCCACAGGAAGCAGGACTGTCATCAGCTGAGCTTTGCAAAGAAGACCAGAGAGGTCAGAAGCCCTTTAAAGTTTAAATAGCCCAAGGTGGATATGCATAATGATCAACCCACTCGGATTCTTTGAAAGATGTAATAACAATGTTTTTACTTTATATACCTGGCACACTGTGGACATTCAATGAATATTTATTTGATGGTTGAACAAAGAATGAACAAATCCCCTAAAACACAATGGTAGGTTCCCAAATTATCTTTTCCAAAGGGGATGTGTATTTTGATTCCCTTCTATATCCATGTCTACCCAGGGGCACGTGGGACTCAGAGGGTAAGAGACTGACCATGTCAATATGAGAAGCCATTTCTATAACTCCCCTTGTCCCTATGATGTGATATCAAAGCTGCCCCCTGCAGAGTCCTGGTGTAGTCTCCACCAGCCTTTCATTCAGTGTTCTCTTTTCAACGTACCCAGTTCAGCAAGCCAAACACTAAATTTCCAATACAGTATTTAAGAAACTACATAAACTAGGAAGGAAAGGTGAATACCAAATCTCCAATGGGAGCAGAGAGAAAGAAGGGGTGCACGTAACTCTCATCTTCCTAATAGATAAACCTAATTAAACGAGATGTAAAAATTTTGTGTTTATTCTCTAAAGAAACTGTTAATCACCTCTACTATTGTTTTTTTTCCAAACGTGTATCAGATTCCAAATAAAACCCAAGACACTACTACCACAATTTTATTACCTCCTACCACGGTCCACTAGAGAAAAGCTAGATTTTATTTAAATGCTGACTCTGGCAGGAATAAATTCTCAAAAGCTGTCTTTCACAACAGCTAGAGAGGCAGAGAAAGAGCACTGGAGACAGAGAAACGGCAGACAGACGGGTTACAGCATTTACAAGTGTAATAGTGGAAGGGAGCTATGTATTTTCAAGCTTTGATGGTTACCTCTATAAAGAAATGCTCACCTAGATTACCTCTTTTTTCTTTTTTTAAACAAAAGTAGTCCTACTACCTTCAAAAGATCAAACATCTACAAAGTCCTTTCATGTACTGTATTCAAAAGGAGACACATTAAGGATGTGAGCTTTGAAAAGTACTAGCCTCAGTTAAAAAGGAGAGAAAATACGTCAGACACTCCCATTTTCCATTCTAGTTAATGACATGTACGTATTTGTACTTTAAACGTGAATTAAACATCTCTGCAGAAAGTACTGAAGTGACCACGGGCAGCAGGTGGAGGGGCAGACAAAACACAAAGGGAGCTTTGCACTCAGAGAAGTTCACCATCTGGAAAAGGAAGTCATGAAAGAATAAATGCTTACCGAGGATACATTTCTGAGCAACACGGCCAGGGACTTTTAATCTTTCCTAACTGTAGCATTTCAGTTACCTCTAATAACTGTATATAAACCTACAACTATCTCAATAAAGATTTTATTATTATTATTTTTTATTTTTAGAGATGGGGGGTCTTGCTGTGTTGGCTGGGCTGGTCTTGAGCTCCTGGCCTTAAATAATCCTCCCGCATCAGCCTTCAAAAGTGCTGGGATGATAGGGGTAAGCCACTATGCCCTGCCTCAATAGATTTCAAATACAAAGTAAGTGGGAGGGACATTCTGTTTTTGTTGTGGAGAAATGAGGCCTAACTAACAGATCATCTTTAAAAATTCTGCATAACATACCTATACCTCCCCCCCCCAAATAAAACCAAAAGAAACAAACAAAGCATACAACAGAAACACTACCTGAAGACTCTAGAGACTGAACAAAGGCAAACAGACTTTGGAAGGGAGTCAAAAGTTGGAGCAAAGCAACAGCCAAGAGTGACCTCCACGCCTGTTTGTGTAT